ATAGTAGATGTAGGTGAGGTCAGGGTTCAAAGGTACAGCTAGAGACATTTCTGCCGGTAGTTCCAGACTGACATTTTGCAAGATCCCAAAAAGATGTTCAGGTGTGATCAGGTAGGGGCTCAGTCGACTTCTAGCAGCTGTTTCCAACGCTTGCGTCAGACCCCGAATGCGAAGACTGCCACGACGAAGAAAAAAGAGAATGTATTCAATATGTTGAATCTAATTCCAGAAGCATAACGTTATGCTAAGGATGTCCCCCCCCCCCCACCCCCCTGCTCACGTACCCGAATAATACTCCGCCCAGACGGAATTTGAGGATGATCCCCTCGGTCGCCCTCCTCCATACAACATATTGAATACATTCTCTTTTTTTAATTCTGGCTCCCATCGCAAGCTTGCAATTGCAACGAGGAAAAGGAGAAAATAAGAGAAGCATGTCGGAAGCCGAGATAGGAATGAGTTAATCGTAGGTGTTCACGTGGCCAGTTGGATTGGGCTGGGCGTGGCCCTTTCCATAAAATCCTCAAACCATGCCCCCCATCTCATCAATCGCAGAGATGGCCGGATTCCTGTTCGAGTACATCGTCGTGGCAGTCTTCGCATTCGGGGTCTGCTGGGGACTCCCGAATCAGTCCAGATGGGCAAGAACCGAGGTGTTGGATTCGAAAGGACAAGTCAGATTGCACTGGACGCCGAGGATCACCAAAGGAGACATCCAGTTCCTATTCGTTGCTCCAAGCACGGGATGGGTTGGAGTGGGTTTCTCCCCTAACGGCGAGATGAATGGGGCCGACTTGGTCATCGGAAGAGTGGGAGTGGAAGAGTGCAAGGGCAAGTGAGGAGATATCGTCTGCGATGAGGAATGCGCCCTGGCCCTCCAGTCACATCTGGTGAGTGAGAGAGTTCCAAATGAAGACGCTTCCCGCTCACTCTAGAAAGAGTAGCTGTCACCGTGACGCCTGGCAAACAGGCGGTACTGCTATTGTGGCACGATACCATTCCATTAATTCGTCCGTTTTTGTATACATTTGCCCTTTCTGAATGAGATTTACCGGTAATGCGTGTAGCATTTTCGTTTTTGAATCGGGATAAGGGAATATGAAAGATGTGCTCGATTTCTAGTCCTTGAACCGAAACACAGGCAGATGATGATTTTCCTCCTAAGTAAATATTCAAATAAATCCCGAATAGAGAAAAAATCGTCCGGCAACATCACAATTGCTCAAGTTGAGGTCATTGTGGGGTCATCTACGACTAGGATCTCAAGGAAATAGGGCATCCGCAGAAATAATGCCTGGGAATGCAAAGCCGCGAATGATGAGAATGCAGATCCAACAGCTGTAAATATTTTCCCCTTTAATTTTGCCTCTATATTTTCCCAGCGAAGTAAACGCAATGGAACATGGTCCCTCATGGATCGAAATGATATTTTTCGAGAAAGTCGGGATCAAAATATTTTCGAGTAAAATCGGATGAACTTAGGGCACTGAGGAAATGATGCAATATACAGCTCATCCTAGTCATCGACATAAGTGCTTTCAATCTCCCCACAAAAAAGAGCATGTTGCGAGAAGAATTTCTTTAAAAGGCTTTTCCAAGGGACGCGTCGCTATGGAGAGGAGTTTCGAGTTTCAAATCCTCCAATCCCCCTGTTTGAAAATCTCAGGCGCATCACTGAGCATTCCACAGGACACATGGGGATGTTGTGCTCGTGTGGAAGACGGTGTACCCGATCATGGCCACTGAGTATTTCAGGAATTTTAACGTTTCCAGCTCCACATTCAGAGAAGGAATTATGAGAGGAGTACAATCGTTTCATCGATTGAGCAACTCATAATTAATCACGTTTTAAAAATAAAATTTATGCGCGATTATACGAGTCAATTCTATGAAACTGAACGAAAGTAAGTCGCTGCTGAAAGGGTTAAGAAGAAATCCATTGAGCTGCATAGTCAGTTACAGCATGGAAGAACGTGATTGACCAGGGGAATGCAGGGCTCAACGATCACCTCTCCCTTTCCGAAAATCCTTCTATCGCAATTCCTGCTTCTTTCTTCGAGAGGTTACAAAGCAGACTTCATCATTCCTATGTGGGAGCCTGTCTTTCGTCCATGTGACAGTCATAAGCAAAACGCCTCGGAGAGGACTCAGGAAATCATCAGAGGGTTGTTAATCGGGTCCTTCAATCCTTAGGTATCCGCGATTCTCGGAATTCTGGGAATTTAGGTTTACCGAATTCCGATAGGAGCAACTGAAGAATTGGCTCAAACATTTTAAAAGCTTTTCTTGGAAAGGTATGGAGTCTGGGAGAAAGTTCTCAGGTCGACTCAGAAGTCATTCACATCAGATGGCTAAATATGAGCCATATCTCATGTCTTTGTTACATTTAAACATTTCATAGCAATTACGAAGTGCCGTTTGGATGTCTCTTGGCGGCATGCGCTGGAATTCCAATGCTTCACCTTTAACTTCAATGCACTGCGAGCTTCGTGGACTTTGAGATTTATTAATGTCCCGTTCTCGTTGCAGGCAATTCGAGCTGGCGGATAACACGGAGGTGCAGGACCTACCCGAGGGGGTCTTCGGGAATCTCTCCTTCGAGAAGATACTCGTCTACAACACGTCCTTGAGGACGATTCATTCGTCGGCGATCCTGTCGTCCAGAGACCGTCTCGTGGACCTCACGATCGCGCACGGTCGCCTGGAGGGATTTCCCTTCCACCTCCTGCCGGCCTTCTCCGTCCTGAAGAAGCTCTGGCTCCAGAACAATTCCTTGACGTCGGTTCCCGTGCTTCGGAGCGAAAGTCTCGAAGTTCTGTATCTTTATAGCAATCGAATAACGAAAGTGGAGGAAGACGGATGGGCGACTCCCAACCTGAGGGAACTCTACCTCAGTGAGTGCGATACGTCTCGCGTCGTACCGTGTTTCCATCACGGCTTTTGCCCTACGCGCAACGACGGAGGACCGACTTTCATTACGAACCGTCCGGTTAAGTGATATGATGGAGCTCAGAATTAAAAGTAAGAATATCCCTTTGTCATTTACTCGAAAGAAATATGGTTCAGGGTGGTGAAGGACTTCTTTGTTACAGTCTATGGGGCCTATTCGCTGCATGAAAACGTCTCGCGTCGTACCGTGTTTCCATCACGGCTTTGCCCTACTCGCAACGACGGAGGACCGACTTTCGTTACGAACCGTCCTCGTCCTTCGATTCTGCAAAGAAATAAGTCCTCCGAAGTGAATCTGCTTCCAGGGAAAATGCAATCGCAACAAATTTCCTTCCAAACAATTGCTAAAGGTAAAAACTCGATTATACGGAACAAGCAAACAGGAAAAGTCGTTGAATGTTGAGTTCTCGAAATCGAAACACAAAATAATGGGCAGAATAAGTCACCCGAACCTTGATCTGTGGCCTGAGTCAGAACTGGTTTCCTTCGATGCCCATGCTTTCATGATATACATTTTTCCGGACCGGGTCCATGAGACTTCTCCCATCCGCAAGAATGAATTGCTCGAGTGAGATAGAGACCTGCGGCAGCGAAGAGCGGGCTACTCTTTTTTGGTGCTTTTCCCATGGGGAAAGGTACTGACGATTCTTGTCGTTAAATATCGGACGGGAAAGAACTTATTCGAGTTTCGCTGCTCAAGCAAAGGCTATGGTGCACTCAGAGCAGTCTATGAATGATTATCTGACCCATGATAACGATTCTGCATTTCTTACCTTCGAAGATTCTATAAGAGAGTGATTGGAACAGGGCCTTAATATTTTTCGGAGATATGCCAGCAGGAAAGTTCAACTAATGTTGGTCTAATCCTGATTACTTTTACATATTTTGCTAATGGTGTCTCATCGAAGCACTGGAAAAAGGGAATGCATTGCTTTTCTTTTACCGATACGAGAGTGTCGATCGATGGAATAACATTCAAGGTGAAATCCTACTTTCGGACTCACGAGTTCGGCAGAAAGCGTTATGGGAATCCCATACGACAGAGCTCGCATTCCGTACGAGAACCCCACGTGATATTTTGTTGAGGATATAGTGTTCACAGGTTCCGTCTGCCATTTCCACATGCGGAGGGCAAAATGATGAATCTGCCTTCCGGGGAACAAACTGAGCTTGCGGATACGTCGTAAAGCACGAAGGGTTCATTTCCTCCTGAATCTACTATGCTCAGTACATTCGGGGGAAGATGAAACTTTTTACTGACCTATAACTCCTGCCCATATATGAAACAGACGTGCTTATGGACTGAAGGTTATCGTACAGGCAGTACTAGTACCGAAGACACAAAAGTCCCCCACCATGGGAGAACCCCTACTTGGTAATGCATTTGGAGANTACAGGCAGTACTAGTACCGAAGACACAAAAGTCCCCCACCATGGGAGAACCCCTACTTGGTAATGCATTTGGAGAAAATAGCAGCGCCAATATCGGCCCAATATTGACCCCGGTAGTCATCCCATTTAGTAATAAGCCTGGTTGTCATGCCATAGTTTTGAAACCCAAGAAAACTCACCGAATCCTATAGGTCAGGTGTCCCATAGGACGCTATAGGTTTCCTATAACAAATTTCTACAGATTTCATACAGGACTTATTCGTAAGGGACAGTATCGTTCCCCCCTCACTAACTTCATTTTTCGTTTCCTTCAGGTTACAATCCTCTGTCGGAGATTCCCTCAGTAGTCATCACGGGCCTCACGAACTTGGAGAAATTCTATTGTTCCGGCTGCAATCTGGGAGGAACCCTTCCGAGCGGGTTTTTGGTGTTCCGCAGCAAGGCCTTGAGGCTGGTGTCGCTCTGGAAGAACGGGATCGCAAGACTGGATCCGGGAGCCATCGTGGGTACGGTCCCTTTCTTTCG